AGGCAGGATCTGTGACAGCTTTTGGAGGACACTGTAAGGAGATGTGAACTGAGGTGCTGATGACAAAATTTTCCAGTGCTATTAATGCAGCCTTTCTGGATCTGAGCTTTTGAAAAGGCTTGGACCAACTTGTCTACGTGTCAACTTGTAGAGCTCAGACCTTCTCCAGAGATTCCCTGGTGTTTGGAAATATCCTCAGGGAAATAATTATGTTACAGAAATACTAAAATTATTGTGTTTGATTATAAAAAATACTTCAAAAACTGGACATAGACTGTCATGTGCATTCCTAATCTGAGGTAACTACACTCAGCTAAAATTAACTACAATTTTGAGATCATGCTGAGTTTGTTACTTGAGCCTTGCCCAGGTTCTGAAATCAAAAAATCCTTTTCTTCTTGTTCCTTGGATCTACATTTTTTGCAGCTGTTGTTCAGATGATGAATGTATTTGATGCTCTCAGTGTAATTCATTGTTAAAAAAATACATCAAGCAGCACATAGCTCTGCAAGCCTTCCTCCAGACTACAGGCAAAGGCCAACCTCTCTTTGCAACAAGACAATTTTCTACTCCCTACCCAGCAAATCCACAACATTAAGTGGCTTTCCACTGACAGAGTCCTGTAAAGAGGCATTATAGTTAAACCAATAATTCCCAAAATATACTAAAAATTGGTGCATCAAGCTGCCACAAGAAGCCCCTTATGACACAAGAAGCAAATAGTGCTTCTCTGAAAAAACAAGTCTTGACCCTGAAATGCTATGACTTCTTGAGCTTTCCTGCTGTGACTTTATCTATTAACACATATCCACTTACACAGCATGGTGCAGCATTAACCAGGACACCTCTGACACTTCTGCATACTTCTTCTCAAGATAATGGTCATGAATCAGTTTTTTGTTGGGTGTTTATTCATGGCTATATCACCCTTAAATTTAATATCCCTTCCCCAGCACTGGCAGCAACATTAAATGTGCTATAAATGCCCAGGTTTTGGGATACTCTTTGGACCCTCCCAATGCCAAAAGGATCAAGAAGTGCCTTGGCCACCTGTCTCCTGCTGTTGGACTCTCTGGAAAGATGGTGTTTCCAGCTATTTCTGCTTGTGTCCCTGCACGAGTCTGAAAAACAAGTGCATGGTCACTATCCTTAGTGAACCTGGCATTGAGGTACTGAGGGCACATGGATTGTACAGTTCAGCTTATCCACTTAACTGAGCAGAGATCACATTTTGTAAAAAAGGTACAGGCAGAAGTGGGTGGTCAGTCTGCATATGAAGTGGCTGAAATGGCTGTTCCCATTCCTTGCTTCTAGGACATAGCAATTTAGGAAAAGAATACTGTAGCTGAAACACTTAAGAGTAAAGAGCCTGGGGCTTTGTGCCTGAATGTTAACTTTGCTATAGGCAGAATTTTAGAGAAAAATTACTAAGGGCTCTTGGCCATATGGGTATGTAGGGAGAGAGAGAGAAAGCTAGAAAGTGAGAAAAAGTGCAGCCAACCATATGCCCTACCTCTACAGGGGAATTCTTGGGGTCAATTTCTGAAGTAAAACCTATATTCTAAAAGTACTCTTGTCAGTCTTAAGTGACCCAGTACAGTGAGTGGCCCTCCCAGAGGCATTTACCTTTGCTAATTCTGTCAAAATCTACACAGAAAGGAGTTTCTCTACTGACTGGTAACTGAAGATACTTTTTTTTTCACCTAAGATTTTCAGCTACTTTCATCTTATTTTCTGCTTCTGATTTTAATTTGAAAGACCAGTCCTGTGAGAGGATGCTTAATTGAGAATAGTAGTGAGATAATGAAAGAAGCCATTTGTTGCATCTCTTGTTGCTTGGTTGTGGCTTCCCTTGGTGAGTTTGCCTAGGGAGCAGACAGGCTGCCCTTATTCCATGATATTTCAGCTCTGCTCATGAGGAAAACTACAGTCACCAGAACTGTACATTGTCCTGATAGCAGAATCTAAATGTGGCTGCTTTTCATGACATCAGATGAAGGAGTATTCTTGGGCAGCAAAATAAGTACAGGACAAAAGAAGGTCAAAAGACAAGCTTTGAATTGCATTATTTACATCAATGCTGGGAAAAAGCCTGGTGAGCTGAGAAGGGGTAAGTGGAGATCAAAGGTGGGCATTAAAGTTTCTTCCAATCAATGAGGATTCCACTGACTTCTGTGAGCTCCAGAGCAGATGTGAACAGCTGTCACCTAGCCACTTTGCCTGTGTGGATTTTCTTTTTTTGTAAAAATCCCAGTGCCAAATATAGCTCTGCTGGAAGAAATGCCAGAGATTTTACAATTCTTTTCCACATTTCTTGAATAGTTTTTTTTTGTTTGTTTGTTTTGTGTTTTTGTTTGTTTGTTAGTTTAAATTTTCTCCCCTTGATTGTGGATTTTCGTCCATGTGTCAAAAGGACTACAGACTTCATCACAAGGTTTTATTAAGTGGAAAAAATAACAGGCATCTAAAACAGGAAAGGTTTGTGAAATGCTGTCTTCTAAATAAGTGTGTGGTAGAACAGACATACACAGAGTTATTTTGGGAATATATTAGTAGGAGTAGAGAAGACTTGAACATGGATTTCCCTGTAAGTTCTCTATAGCTTCACTGTGCAGTATCTGAGCAGTAGCACTTAACCTTCTCAGTTCAGCTGCTTAGCTGAAAACCCTCTTTTAGCTGAAAGGTTTCATACCAGGGTTAGGGGTGAGTACAGCAGCTAGAGGTGCTGAACTTCTGTCAATAAACTCAGTCAAATTCTCTTTCTACACAAGCTGTAGCAGAAAGTAACAACAATGAGACCAATTCCTTGCTTTTAGACAGAACTATCATCAAGTTTTGGGCCTCTCCCTCCAAAAAAGCCCTTGAGGTGCTGGAGCAAGTCCAAAGAAGGGCAATGGAGCTGGGGAAGGGTCTGGAAAAGTCATTTGAGGAACAGCTGAGGGAGTGGGGGGTATTTAGCCTGGAGAAAAGGAGGCTCAGGAGAGTTCTCTACAGCTACCTGAAAGGAGCTTGTCGCCAAGTGGGAGCCAGTCTCTCTTCTCAGATAACAAGCAATAGGACTCAAGGAAATGGACCCAATTTGTGCCAGGGGAGTTTAGATTGGATAGTAGGAAAAAAATCCTCCATGTAAAGGGTTGTCAAGCATTGGAACAGGCCATCCAAAAAAGTGATGCAGTCACCATTCCTGGAGGTATTTTTGAAAAGTGTAGATGGAACACTTAGGGACCTGGCTCAGTGGTGGATGGGTCAGTACTGGGTTAACAGATGGACTTGATGATCATAAAAGTATCTTCCAACATAAATTATTCTGTAATGAAATTTTAAAAAGAAATCTGATATATCAACAGGGAAGCCACTGCAAAGAGTGATGTTATGACAGGTCTGAGTCCAGTCAATAGTCTGACTCTCTTGGTTTGAGATTGTAAGTCAGAATTCCCCAGTTATAGGACAAGAAGCCTTTAGGGTGCTCTGCAGTAAAAATAAAGCAATAGACAGCAACAGTGCAGAGATGGAGAAATTATTTCTTGGTGTCTCGGGTTTGCCTACACATATATGTAAAAACTATTACCAACGAGTAACACTGAACAAATAAATTTCAGATGTGTATTTTCCTTTAATACCATTTTGAATGGAAGTATGTCTATGTTAAGTGGCATGGATGTTCTCATGAAAGGTCCTGGGCCAGATTCCATTGAAGTGAGAAAGAGAAATCACATTCTATTCTCACTTTAAAACCAGAGGCTATCTATTGGAGTCTCAAACAAAAGCAGCTGAGAGAAAGCACTGGATGTAAGTGCACACAAGGTATCTTTCCTTTTCCTGAAAAGCTGAATATGGAAAAAGTAGCAGTGGGCAATGGGTTAATGAATCATAAACTAAATTTTGACACCTCCACTGAAAGAACAAATGAAGATTAAGTTCCTTTGGAGAATCATGATTTTCATTAAATTTATGAACTTCAGGATCAATAAATTCTAATCTCTAATGTCTCTACATTATTCCAAAGCTTCTTGATGGGATAAAGCTCTTATAGCAAGGCAGTGAAGTGATTACATTAGATAAATTTGGAATGGGACAATGATCTCCTGCAAACCAGCTACAGCAGGGCTCTTGCGGACTGGATTATCCTCTGGATGCACAAAAGGGGTCAGTAACAGGTAAATTAAATGATGGGCTGTCAGAGAAGTTAATAACTATAACTCCCATATCAGATGCAAAGTCCTCTAAAGGAGCAGCCTGGTGCATTCATTAGGTACTTGACTTCTTTCCAAAATCCTCAACAGGGACAGTGTCACCACATGGTCAAAACAAGGGCAAAAGTATGAGGGGGGGAGATTGGCGTAGATCACTTCGGCAGCTGCATTCCTCTGAAAATCCTGAAACCCAGTAATTAACTGCAAACCTCTCGAGCCTTTTCAAACTGAGTTTTGCTGCACTGCTGTCTGCAGCAGCTCAGGAAGCCCCCACACTTCCTAGAAACTGTGATGTGGACAGCTCCCTGTGCAGAAACTGTCTCAGGATGGAACTACAGAAGGATATTTACAAAGATTCCCCAGAAATTCAGGGCAAAGAATGTGTAAATGAAGAGAAACAATCCATTGTTTTGCTAATCTGGGTGAAATGTGAGTTAATTACTCATATCAACCTGCTTATCCTCTACAGATGAAAATGACTGCTGAAACCCTGACTTTCTTTCCCTTCCTTTTGCCTTATTTCTACCTCAACAAAAATAAAGGATTGTTGTAATGTGTATCCATTTATGCACTTTAGGAGCTTGATCCTGTCTCAACAGAAACCATTAAAAGACTTTATGTATTAAATCAAAACTCTTGAACTGATAGCTGTAGCTCTTAATAGTTTATTCTGTCATTTTCTTGGGTGCTGCTGTTTTTGCATGGCCTTGCCTTATAAAAAAGGGATCTCACCTAAACTCCTTCAGACTAGCTGAGCAGAGAGATCTGCATGGAGCTGAGCTAAGCCTGAGTGCCTGGAGAGGCAGTACCAGCAGGCAAGGGGCAGGATGGAGCTGTACAAACCTCTGCTAATGCAAAGGAGGACTGACTCTGCAATCGCTGCTACGTGAGAGGATTGGAAATGGAGAGGCAATTTCTACTCCAGAGCCATGGGTGAGTCTTGCTCAGTCCTCAGATAATCACCTTTTGGGGTGATAATGAAAACTTTCTATTTAAAAGCAGCTGGAGAAAATAGGAAATAACCAGGGAAAAGGGATGATAATGACGAAGAGAGCATCATACTTTGCAGCAGCACACCACATTTGGGGCATTAAACCTCAAATATACTGAAAGCCTTATCTTGGACACAGCAATACAGTGAAATAGCATGTCTGTGTTGGCAAGGATATGAGAGTTTTTCTGTTCTTGTAGCTGCATAGCTTTTGAAGCAAGAAAATAATGTGAATTTGCTTGAGCATTGCTCAGAAGGAAAGGTTCAGAAGGAAAGCTATTCTATATCAAATAAGGCTTCTTGCAACACTTTGTGTTTCCTCTAGCAGTGCCTCATTTAATCACTGCCCACAGCCAGCTTCAATTGCTTCAAGAGGGATTTGCCTGCTGGATCAAAGCAGTGGTCCACCTAATCCTGTTCTCTGTTTCTAACAGTGACTGGCTTCTTCAGAGAAGAGAGGGGAGATCTCCCCCATAGGCAGTTACAGGAATACTTTCCCCAGGGAGCTGGTAAGATCACAGCCAAAGGTTATATGAATGCCAGCAAGGTGAATATAAATATAATTAAAAAGACATTGTGATTATCAAAGTAGATGGAAGAATGTTAACTTAGGGATGGGGTGAGGAAGAGGCTATGGAGGGAAGGAGCAATACTGGAGAAACACTTGTTCTACCAGGAGACATTTTAGTAGTGTGAGTACTCCCTTAACATTGTTCTCAGCACAACAGATGGTAAATCATCAGCAGAACGTGAAGAAATCAAATAACCTTCACAGCTCAATTGAGGCTGTGCCTATCGTATTTGGCTTTTACTAAGTAGTGGAAATTAACAGCGCCAGGGTGTTCTCATACTTAATTTCCTTCTCCTTTTTCTCCTCTGTGCAGATCCTCACTACAGGTAAATGAATTTCACTCAAGTGGGTGTCACTACCTAGAGGAGATGGAAAGATCAAGACACTGTGTTAAATGGAATTACTCGAGAGGACAAGGCAAAAGGAAAACACATGAGTGTATTACTTGTAGATAAATAAATTACTGAGACCTGAAAATGTCTGCAGTTTGTTTGGATTGCTCTTGAGCCTATCATCTGTGAGTAGCACAGGCTAAAGACTGGGAGCAATCTTGGTTTCAGTGAGAAACTCCTGGTTCAGTGCACACCCTGGATCAGGTTTTCTGTTCACAGTGGCAGGGGGGATCTCATGTGTCTTGCTTTATCTAAGGTCATGGTAGTCTCCTTTTATTCCTATTGTGTTGGTGCATGACTAAAACATGGTCCACAAAATGAATGATTTTTATTTTTGAATGTTTGGCTCAACACCAGTTGAATTTTTATTGGCTCTTCCTATATGACATGAAAGTCCAAGAATAATCTATAAAGCTCCCTAAATAATCAGGCATACTAGTTTTAGGTCTCTTGTATTTTTATAACAGGAATGCCAAATCTACATGTACTTCAAACTGGACTTGATGGGTTTCATGTTTACATCTGAATTTAATTTTTTCTATATTGTGAGGTACCCTGAAGCTATTTTGACAGAAACCACCATGACTGTACAACAATCATCACATATGGCTGGAAGGCAGACCAAAGAACACTTAGTTCCTCCTTCTCCCAGTGTCAGAATGTATACTGATAGTGTTCCTGCCAGCTGCCTCTTACACCTTCAAGAATGAGCATTCCCTGCTCTTCTCTGGGGAATCTACTCCATGCCAGTGCATTCCTTACTTTTATAAACATTTCCCTAACATCTGAAATCCCACTAGAGTCCCTGTGCCTAATGTTTCCTCCTGGCTAGACACCACTGAAGACACAGGGATGTAGATGGAATTAGGCTGTCTGGAGATGTCTCTGTACAGTCAGAATTATCTTACAAAACAGCTCAAAAACTCAAATAGATCAATGGGCTTTTTAATGGTAATTTACATGCATAGAGACTGTGCTGTCTGGACATAGAGGATATAAGTCCCGATTCAATATCTTGTTGTGAACTCTGGGAGCAGCTAAAATTGCATCTGATGTGACCACATAACAATATTTGGAGTATTCTATATAGAGGTTAATATATGAGCAGCTCTGGCTCCACACATAATTAAAATTAAGTGCATTTTAAAGTGATTATTTGCCCTACAATGAATATTTATTTCAGGCAGAGAAAAATGCCCTGAAATCCAACCCTTCTCTGTGTAGATTCTTAGCACTTCCTATTGCCATTCCATGATTTTCTTTACTGGCTGGGTATAAGATAAGCTGGGTTCCAAAAGGTATGGGAAATGCTATATCCACAGTTTGTTTTTGGTGTTTCAAGAATGCCTAGTAGTACCACTGTCACTAATAGTGAAAAGTCAGATGCTGTCCCAACGAGAATCTCAGAAGCTGGCTTGGAGATGGAAGGCATCTCCTCCAACACATGGCCAGGTCCAGTTACCAGAGGGAGAAACCCAGGGAGAAGCACATGGTTCTGTGTTCTCACCTGGTCCAGTGTTCTCACCTGGTCCAGTGTTCTCCATGGTCCAGTGTTCTCACATGGTTCAATGTTCTCCATAGTTCAGTGTTCTCACATGGTTCAGCTGAGTTCTCCAGGCTTCAGAAACAACTTTTTGAATATTCATTTCAGCCCACCCCCAATTTCTTCTCTAAGCTTGAGCAGTTCACATGCGTTTCAGGGTTGTGCTAGAAATTCAGCTGGGGAGAAGTTTTCCAAGCCAAATAGCCACCACGCTTCAAGAGTTTAAAGAACAATGTCAGAATATGTGACTCTTTCTAAACGAAGGTTTTCATGCTCTTTAAGCCAGGGATACTCAAACATTCCATTAAATAAATGAAGGTCCCATCATATCCCCTTCTGTACTTTAAGCCCTGAATCTAACTGCCTCATTTCTGAGTCTGTCTGTGAACCTTTTGAATGCACCTACAGCAGTCACTGCATCATTTGTTGGCATTATTAAAAGAATCTTCTCAAAATAGAAAAGCAAGCAATGGGGCATCGTGTTTCATAGAACTGATCTTTATCTCAGAGATTTTACAATCCAATTTTCTTCATGCATTCTCTGCTCCATTGGGGCCTTTTATGTGAGGCATTCACTAGAATAACAGTGCATTTCCATTTGTATCTCTTTTGTTGCACATAAAATCTCAATTAGTATTCCAATTCACCATCAGCCTGTACCTATTTAATGAACTTTTATCCACTTCCATGTTCCTTAAGTTTAATTAACTAAAACAGAGCAAGTATCTTGGCATTATTAAATGCTTCTGGAATAAAAATATTCCTTCCTTGAAAGTTTTTATCAAAAGTCAGAAGAAAAAATCTCTGAGTTCAGTTTGGATATTCTAGTAATTTTAACATTGCTTTGCAGTTTTGTATGGGACTCAGTAAAACATTATACCATAGCTTTAAGTTCCAGTTAAATTCCTTAACTGGATTTTAATCCATGTAACATTTTCAACATATGGTGCTGAATCCAAAAGGAAAATTCAATTCAAGCATATCTTTTTAAAAAGAATGATAACAGAAAAAAATTATTCAGAAATATTAGTGGGGGATTTGTAGGAACCTCCTCTAAATGCAATGACTGAATCTTATGTCACTATTCTGCCTTTGAGCTCAAAAAATAAGATGAACATACAATTTTTTTTTTTCACTCAGCCTATGCACAGCATTATTTTCAGCAAAAAGGGAAGTGTGTAATTAAAAAAAAAATTGTATTTTGAGTCAGGTTTTGGTGTGATAATGCACTTTCTGAACATTTTGCCAAGAGTTCAGCATTTTGTGTGTTGGTTCAATGTACCATGGCCACCTGCAAAGCTCCAGCTGGTACTGAGAGACCTCAGGGAGACAGCACTCCTCTGAAGGCTCACCTGTGTCTGCTACAATGCAGCATTTTGGCTGACACTGGTCCCTGCTTTATAGATGAATGAACTTCTACTTTCATCTTCCTTAAGATCCAACTCTTCGCCCACTGCTCTGCAGTCACAATATTTATGCTGAAGTGCCCCGGAAAATTTAAATGCCTACCCCAAGAGGATAATTTCTATCAACCCCCTGTTACAATCACTCTATATGGGAAGATTCCTTCAGAGAGTTTTCCAGAGGAATCACCTTGCTCGAAGACTGTGACTTTCCTCCTGGAGGAGGGACCATTTCTCTTCACAGTTATTGCAAGAAGGTTTGGCCAACTCATTAAAAAGGCAGGATGTCTCACTGGCAGAGGGTTTGTGGAGCTGCATAAGATGCATTGCAGCTCATAGAGGTCAGGACAGGAACAAAAGGGCAGCTATTGAAGTTTTCTTGTGAGGTATTGGTAGAAGTGTCCAAGCAACAGCTAATGATGGGACTGGTAGGAAAGCACAGCTGTTCTGTTGACTCTCTTCTATGGCAATAACTTTCCATTTTGCATTTTATTTTTGCAACAGGAACTGTCCCAGGGCTTTCTGTTCTCCCTGCTCTAAATCCATTTCTTATGGTACAAGGCCATAATTGAACATGAAATAGGCTTGAAGCCACATGGATAGAGATAATTTTTGAATATACCCTTGGAATTTTTTATAATTTCTTTTGTCACTCACTTTATCTTTTCCCATTTTACCTGAAAACCCAAACAAACAAACAAAAACATAAACAAAAAGAACAGAAAAGAAGTATAAAAAAATAGAAGGTAGTAATAAGAAATGCCCAATCACTACTTTCACAAAGGACAATGTGATATATCTGTTGGATTCAGTGTCTGGAATCTGTGGGATGTGCCCTGGAAAGACAATTTGCTGTTTGTTGTGTGTCTGGTTCCTGTCCCAGTGGTAGCTGCAGTTAATTGGCAGTACTCTTCTGTAGATGGGTTGACATTTTCAAAGCTGCTCAGTAGGAATTAGGTGCCTAAAACTTCCAGCAGATTCCAGTTCTGCAAATAAACATACAAGTTGTTTTTAAATTTACTTGTTTTAGAAGCACATGACACTGTGCTTATGTTCTTTTCCCTTGAAGAACTTCTGCAGCCAGCATGCTACAGCTAAATCTGAGAAAAAAGGGAAGATATTTACACCTCTGGCAGCAAGAGAAGATGCCTTTTGCTGTGATTTATAGAAACCGACATTAATCTCTATTGCTTTATACTATACTTGCAATAAACAGCTTTGGAGATTGATTAAAGACTTCTTGTGCAGCTTTCACTCAATTTCAACAGTTCTTCTTGCTCCATAAACTCAAAAGAAATAGAGATTATGCCTTAAACAAAACCCACGATATCCATGTCTAGGAACATTTACTATTTTCAGTGCTTTGAATTGAAAGTTATATACGTGTATATGTGCAAGTGTTAATTCCAAACTTTTCTTACAGTTTCTTCCACAATAAATGTAACAACAAAACTGGCTAAATACACATTTCTGTATCTCTCTTCTTTCCTTCTTTTTCCCTATTCCTTTGCCCCAAGCTTGATTGTTGATAATGGACTTATTACCCATTGCATGTGTTTTAGGAAAACACATATGAAAGAAAAAGCATGACAGAAAGACAGAAAACTTTCTCCAGCCTCAGCAGCATTTTTTCCACTTCTAAATGCAGCACTTTGGTAAGTGCTTTGGTACTTTGGTACTTACTATTCCAACATCACTGATTACAGTATAATTTTTAGAAGTGTTTATTTCCATACATGCCTTGTGTTCACTGTTACTGACTCCATCATTTTCTTCAGCCACACAACCTGCTCCTGACTCCTGCAATCCATTTAATTCCACACCTGTCCCATGTCTTGTCTCCTCCTGGCCAAATTAAATTTATTTTTACACTTCAGCACTCTTCTCTTTTTTGTTATCACAAACACTGTCTTCCACTTCTTTGGCTCTACATGACAATAGTTTTCAGCTTTGATCCAACATTTTTAGCTCCTATCCACACTTCTCAAATTCCTACTTTGCAGTTTTCCAGTGCAGTCTTGTCACATGCACCTGGATAACTTTAATCCTTTCTTTTCTGGCCTTTTACCTGCAGCTCTTTGATCCATTTAATGAAAAGGTACAATGATGAATATGCAGTTCCTGGCTGGGATGTTAATC